CCCTCACATTCGTAGTTGAGAGACTGTGCCGCATATGCACGCACGAGGGCGGATTTGACTATCGTTTACCACGGCCACGGTGTACACTGTGACCACGGCAGACATGACGTTCACGAGTTCATGTTATGACCTGTCGAGCGTGCAAGGGTGAGGCCAGAACATATAGGCGCAGGGATGCGGCCTCGAACTTGACTCAAGCTAAGCTAGTCACGGCCGCTGCACATGGAATCCGGATACATTACACATTTGAAGTAAGACGTTCGTTTGTTTTTGTCGCATGCCTTAAACCACGAGATCCAGTGCCCGCCTTGCACTTTAACACATTCGGCGCAGAGTGATCACAATGTGGTCACGTGCTGGGGTTTCCAAGCCCCTGGACGCGATGCAGCATCGGAAGGTCATGTTATTAAAATCAGGTAAACCGTGGATGTTCTCTATTGGATTCGTCTCACGTCACGATAAAAAGTAAGACTGTTATAGGTCGCTTTACGAAGGGTGGAACAATAATCTTACGATCTTACGTTACAATGTGTGACACAAAATATGTCTCATATGTTTAAGTTGGCCTCAACTTCATACAGGGAGGTAGCTGTGCCGCCTCGATGCAAACGCGTACACTAACCCGCATGCACGGGTGCGGGCGGGTCTGCCTATCGTCTCGGCGCCTTCAGGCCCCGTGCGAATAGGCAACCCACCCGCACCCGTGCGCGCGGGCTAGTATGCGCGTTTGCGCCGACGGGGCACAGCCAGCTACCACCATGCCTTGGCTGGGGCCCGGTAGCAGACATTTTGGATAGACATTGAAACGATTGTATAGGACGAATGACACGGGACGTAGAAGTGTGACTTTAGGAATAAATGAACGAAGGGTGAAAGTCGCTGTTTTTTGTGTGAATGTGTGTTGTTGTTTTTTTGTTGTTGTTTTTTGCCACCTTGCAATGGCAAGGATTCCACTATCATTCCTGAAGCCGCACGACTTGCGTCGAAGGTCACGCACTTACCTGGTCTACCATGTCTGCTGGAGATGTTT